TAATCCAAGGTGCTTAGCACCCTTCTCTGTTAATTTTAACTCCACTGTTTTCCATAGTAAAGGCAAACCAACACCCGAAGGCTATATTTGGGGAATTCTAGCTTGATGGGGAATGGAGCAAAGTAGACCCGTAACTTGAGGGCTCACTGGAGCTACTGGGAAGTTCTAGAAAAAAATAGAGAAGAGAAGCATGGAGAATGGAAGTGCTCTTGTGACAGTCACTAATGAGAAGGGAGGTGGTGGGTGGATGAAGCACACTGGTGTGGAGACTCTTAGTTGAAGGGAAGTTGAGAATGTATCTCCTTTTCTGAGGCGGGAGGAACAATGAAGACAGACATTTGGGCGCTTGGGTTAATGCGCTGGGCTGCAAAGTCAGCGGTTCAAGCTCACTAGCCACTCTTCAAACACTATACAGGGTTGCTGTGGTTCAGAACCGACTCGATGGCACTTAACAACAGCTTCTTTGTCCTCAGAAGAGCTCTCCCATGAAATCTGTCTTGAAGGAGCCAGAGGGGACAGAATATCTTCTGGAATAACACAGGGGTGCAAGTCTTAGAAATTGTTGCATTCCGTGGGGCCTGGGAAAAAGGAAGAAATGACCTTTCTTGCTTTGCTTTAGATCCCCTTTCTGTAACCAGATCAAAGGTGGGCTCTGCCCGGTGCACACAGCTTCCTAGTCACTGATCACTGGTCTTGGTAAAAGCAATAGTAGCTTTTAGAGAAAGTAGCTTTTATTGCAAAGTGTAGAGCCAGGAACCAGGAGTATGGTTCCTCAGACCTGACTTCCTGAAGGGTTGGGGAGTTACTAGTTGATAGCGGACAAGGAAGTTATTTATGTTTATAAAGCGAGTTGGGGAAGGCTGGGGATTGGTTGAACTTAATGTCAGCTTTGATTTGAAAGTGCCATGCAAGTTTTAATTTTAATGAATTGAGCAGGTGTGCAGGAAGGGTTTGGGGATTTGGGCTTTCAAAAACCAGGAAGCTTTGCTGGGCTTTAATAAGTTGGTTCCTTTGAATGAAAGGCTCTGTCCATGTGTGACGATCTGAACTAGTTGGAGTCTGGTTTGGACTGATTATCTTTGAGTGCTGCTGATGACTGAAAGACAAAAAGTAACGGATGTTATGTGCCACAGTGAATTAGCGGAGGAATTAGGGTACCATCGGCCCCAGATGTGGCAGTTTTATTCCAACTTGGCAGCTTCATGCTGGTTTCTCCTGTCTGACGTACATGGCTCCTTCACAGGCTCCCAACTTTGAGCCCTGGTGGGTTCCCTGCTATATCCTCCCATGACACCTGTTGTTCTTTATAGTCTCATGACAACTGTAATTTGTTGACCAATTGCTGAAAGTCCGTCTACCACTCTAGAAAGCCAACTCCTTAAGGGTAGGGCCGGAGCTCACCTCTCTGTGCCTGACGTGACACCAGGGAGAGACCACCCTGTTAATAGGAGCTGGAGAAGGTCACCATGACACCCTGGGTGCTTACCAAGCAAGAGGAGATTAAGCCCAAGACACGGTGTGCAAGGTTGGGGACTGGTTGTATCAAATGTGGGGAAAGAGAGAGCGCGGAGGCATTCCGGGTGCCTCATTTCCACAGAGCTGGTCTTGGTGTCTGGAATAGCAGGCACACCCAGTGGGACGTTTCCTGGGTTCATGGTGGTGGTGGAGGGACTGGTGACAAAAACTCCTTAGTTATGGGCCCTAGTCAAGGAATTTAAAACCTAATGACCTAAGCAAATGCCCAGTTCTAATGGGGTTGGGGGTGGGTGGGGTGTACCTCTGGTTTGGGTAGTGTTTGTATCCCTGCAGGGCTGGGAAGGATGGAGCGTTTATAATGAAAGGGTGGGTTTTAGCCTTTGAGCTAAAACAGAACCAGTTCTTTGAGGTGTTTGGAGAACACAAACACAATAGGTGTGCTTATTTCCTATTATGGCTCCCCGAGAGAAAAAATAGCGTGTCTAAGGGGTGGGATCCAGACAGAGGGTGCCTGGGAAAGACCTGAGGAAGATGGAGCTAGGAATGGCTGAAGGTGTCTGATTGTTTCCTGAAGCTGTGTGGTGACACTGGAGTGTCCGGAGGCAGCAGAAGACTGTTCCCCAGGGTATGACACTGCACAGCGAGTTGCTGGTGCTCAGAGGTGAGGCGAGTTCATCCACCTGTGAAGAAGTTCGCCCTTCCTGCCCAGGCTGGACCTGGTTTATGTAGCAGCTATGAAGAGGGGAGGAGTGGTAATAGGTGTCTAAAGTGTACTAGTCAGTTTACAGAAAACATTTTTGATTTCTGTCTTCATCCAGAATGGTACTGGTCTTATCCTGGAACCGTTTATCCCTAGAGAACAGAGTCCTTGTGTGGCGCTGCAGGTTAATGCGCTGGACAGCAAAGTCGGTGTGAACTGCAAGGTCGGAAGTTCAGGCTCACCAGTCGCTCCTTGGAAAACCCTATACTGGGTTAGCTGTGGGTCGGAACCGACTTGATGGCACTTAACCACAACAGTTAACAGATAGGATACCTTTGGAGCGCCCAGAGAACAACGTGAACATTAACTGGAGAGCATATATTCTGGAAATCCAACAAATGAAGGTTCAAGAGGATTTTTTCTGATATATTTTAAAAATTAAAATCTGAATCAGAGATAATCAAGTCCTTTCAAGACCGGTGCCCAGTGTCTGAGAGAGCTCCGAATTGGTACCTCGTGAATGGCTTCAATGCTTTTTTTTCCCCTCGAAGCTGGATCCCAAACACTTTATCTAAGGTTTCACCCAGTCTAGAATGAAATTGACTTTGTAGAATAAACTACATAAAAGCATTTAAAAGTATGAGAACGCATTCTGGAGACAGTAAAACTAGGTTATTTATTTAGAATAGCTATCTATTTTTAATTGATTTTCAATTGTAACAGCAATTTCTTCTTCCAAGACAGAGCATGTATCATTGTCTCCAGAAAGTTAAGATGAATCCACCTCAGTGGCCCTCCCTGATGACAGCAGACAATAAGTGACATTTACTAATATAGCCAGAACATGCCAGGCACTGTCCCTAGGCACTTAAGTCTACAATTAACTGGGAAACCAGTTAATCTAAAATTAAAATCAGACCAGAAGGGGGTGAAAAATCAGACCAATAGGTGCTAAAGTAAAAGTATGCACAGAGAATGGGAGAGTGAAGGCAGACAAAGAGGGGTTTTTCTGACTTGAGGACATGGCATTAGATAAAAACACCCTGAGACCTCATCGCATATTGAAGAGAGCAAACTGAGTGCCCCAGGACCTAGTGTGTGTGCGGGACTGAGTGACGGACATGCTTTGGCAGAGTGTTTGAAAAAAGCCCAGCTCTCTACAGAAGAGCCCAAGAGCCTCAAAAAGGTTTTGTTTTTATTTAATAAACACAAAATTACCATATAGTACTGAGTAAGCTAGCTGGTGTAAGTACATGTACAAACATCACCAGTGCTGATGCTGTGTGTTGTGGTTAGCTGCTCTTGTGTTGGCCTTCTACTCATGTTACTGTGGTGTTAGCGTGTTGGATGACCGTTGTTACTGTGGTGTTAGCGTGTTGGATGACCGTTGTTACTGTGGTGTTAGCGTGTTGGATGA